GAGCCACTGCACGCATCCCATGCAGCAAGAACTCTGAAGAGCGGGAATTGAAGACTCCAGATGCAACAAACGTTTTTCTGAAAAGGACCAGAGAGAAAATATTTTGTTTGGGTTTTGTGAACTAGCCAGTTGGGATTACAGGTATGGCCACCGTGCCCAGCTACTTCACCCTTTTCTTCAGTTCCACCCCGTCCCAGGCTCACTCTGCTGCTCTCTGACTCATGCAAATTGCTCTGCTCACACCATGAATGCTCTGTTATGCTTCGCCTCTGCCCTGGGGTAGATAGAGGACCCAGGCTAGGTAAAAGTTAAGGAACACCTGAAGGGGTCACTGGCTGTGCGACAGGAGTCACACTACAGAGGCTCTGAGAGGAGATTTTTGCTAGGAAATAATCAAGGTGGACTTCCTGGGGGAGGCATCTGTTGACCGAACCTCAGAGGCAGATGAGAGAGGGACCCCCTGGCAGAACCTGGGGTGCTGTCCCTTCCTGTGATGGTGGAGAGTGGGGCCCTTCCCCAGTGGGTGAGGAAAACCAGGGCCCACGCTCTCTTCAGGGAGACAGCTGAGCACAGAGGTGCGACTCCACCAAACGTGAGGTGCTAAGAGGGTGACGCTGAGCGCTCCATGGTGGGCGGGGCTGCCTGGCTCAGATGTCCCAACCACAGCACGTCACGGCGCTCCCTAGCTGTGGCCTCAGCCTTCCTCAGGCCTTGAGGTCTTGTTTCTCTTCCCTGGAGGGCACGTTCAGAGCCCCCCCAAGGCCCCCCGCACAGATAGGAGTTCAGACCAGTCACAGTGAGACCTTGGCCAAGAGACCTCACTTTCTGGAGTTTTAATTTCTGTGCCCACATTTTAGGGATGATGGTGTACCCTAGAGCTGTAGAGGGAGTTCGTGGCCATCACAATGACAGGCCGCCTTTACTGAGCATTTACTATGTGCTTGGCACGGTGCTCAGAGCAAGCTTTCCATCACCCTTTGAGATCCACTGTGATTCGCATTTAACACATCTGAAAGACGAGCTGAATCAAGGAAGTGAAGCAGCTTGCCTGAGATCACACAGCAAAAACTTTTTTTTTTTTTTTTTTTTTTTTTTGAGACAGAATCTTGCTCTGTTGTCCAGGCTGGGGTGCAGTGGTATGATCATAGCTGACCTCAACGTCTGCCTTCCCAGCTCGAGTGATCCTCCCACCTCAGCCTTCCCAAGTAGTTGGGACCACAGCTGCATGCCATCACACTAATTAAATCTAATTAGTGGCTAATAAATTTTTTTTTTTTTTTTTTTTTTTTTTTGAGAAATGGAGGCTTGCTCTGTGGCCCAGGCTAGAGTGAAGTGGTGTGATCCTAGCTCAGCACAGCCTCAACTTCCTGGGCTCAAGTGACCCTCCCAACTCAGCCTCCCGAGTAGCTGGGACTACTGGCATGAGCCACCAAGCCCGCCGGCATCAGTATCTTTAAATTTTTTCTTTTTTTTCTACGGAGTTTTGCTCTTGTTGCCCAGGCTGGAGTGCAATGGTGTGCTCTCAGCTCACAGCAACCTCCACCTCCCAGGTTCAAGCAATTCTCCTGCCTCAGCTTCTTGAGTGGCTGGGATTACAGGCAGGCGCCACCACACCTGGCTAATTTTTTGTATTTTTAGTAGAGATGGGGTTTCTCCATGTTGCTCAGGCTGAACTCTTGACCTAAGGTGATGCACCTGCCTTGGCCTCCCAAAGTGCTCGGATTGCAGGTGTGAGACACCGCACCCGGCCATAAGTCTTTTAAATTTTTTTAAAAAAGAGACGGAGTCTCACTCTGTTGCCCAGGCTGGAGTGCAGTGGCACGATCTCAGCTCACTGCAACCTCTGCCTCCCAGGTTCAAGCGATTCTCCTGCCTCAGCCTCCCGAGTAGCTGGGATTATAGGTGCTTATCATGGCGGGCTATTTTTTTTATTTTTTTATTTTTTTGTATTTTTAGTAGAGACAGATTTCACCATGTTGGCCAGGCTGGTCTCGAACTCCTGACCACAGGTGATTCACTTACCTCAGCCTCCCAAAGTGCTGGGATTACAGGTGTGAGCCACTGTTATGCCTGGCCATTTTTTTTTTTTTTTGGATGGAGTTTTGCTCTGTCACACAGGTTGGAGTGCAGTGACATGATTTGGCTCTCTGCAACCTCCGCCTCCTGAGTTCAAGCAATTCTCCTGCCTCAGCCTCCCGAGTACTACTCCTGGCTAATTTTTTTTTTTTTTTTTTTTGGTATATTTAGTAGAAACAGGGTTTCACTAGGTTGGCCAGGCTGGTCTTGAACTCCTGACCTCAGGTAATTCACTCACCTCAGCCTACCAAAGTGCTGGGATTACAGGCATGAGCCATTGTGCTTGGCCCATTTTCCTTTCTCTTAAGAAAAAAAAATATATAAATAAAAGCCTGGACTTGGTGGCTCACACCTGTAATCCCAGCATTTTGGGAGGCCAGGGCAGGAGACCAGGAGTTAGAGACCAGCCTGGGCAACATGGAAAGACTCTATCTCAATTAAAAAATAAAATAAACTATCCTGTGTTCATTCCCTTAGGAAAAATAAAATAAAAAATAAAAAAAATTAAAAATGGGCCTGGTGGTCCAGCAGCCTGGCAGGGTGGCTCACGCCTATAATCCCAGCACTTTGGGAGGCTGAGATGAGTGAACCATTTGAGCCAAGGAGGTGGACTGAGTAACATGGGGAAACCCCATCTCTTCAAATAATACTGAATTAGCTGAGCATGGTGGTGCGTGCCTATAGTCCTAGCTACCCGGGAGGCTGAGGTGGGAGGATTGCTTCAGCCCAGCGGTTGAGGTTGCTGTGAGCTGATTACCCACTGCACTCCAGCTTGGGCGACAGTGTGAAACCCTGTCTCAAAAAAATAAAAATTATTTAGAAAGGGCCAGGTGAGGTGGCTCATACCTGTAGTCCCAGCACTCTGGGAGTCTGAGGTGGGAGGATCACTGGAGCCCAGGAGCTGGAGGCTGCAATGAGTCATGATGATGCCCCCGCACTCCAGCCTGGGCAACAGAGTGAGACCTTATTTTTATTTTTTTTATTATACTGTAAGTTCTGCGGTATAAGTGCAGATCGTGCAGGTTTGCTGCATAGGTATACACGTGCCATGGTGGTGGTTTGCTGCATCCATCACTATTTTTTTTTTTTTTTTTGAGATGGAGTCTTGTTCTGTCACCCAGGCTGGAGTGCAATGGTGCGATCTCATCTCACTGTGACCTCCACCTCCCAGGTTCAAGCGATTCTCCTGCCTCAGCTTCCCAAGTAACTAGAACGACAAATATGCGCCACCACCCCAAACAAATTTTTTTTTTTTGATATGGAGTTTCACTCTGTTGCCCAAGCTGGAGTGCAATGACGTGATCTTGGCTCACTGTAACCTCCGCCTCCTGGGTTCAAGTGATTCTCCTGCCTCAGCCTCCTGAGTAGCTGGAATTACAGGCATGTGCCATCAAGCCCAGCTAATTTTGTATTTTTAGTAGAGACAGCGTTTCTTCATGTTGGTCAGGCTGGTCTTGAACTCCTGAGCTCAGGTGATCTGCCTGCCTCGGCCTCCCAAAGTGCTGGGATTATAGGCGTGAGCCACCTCTCCTGGCCTTCTTCTGCAAGTATATGTATGGCAAACTTCTGTGTTGTAGCTGCCATCAACATTGTTAATGGTTGAGGGGACTCCCCAACGAATAAGTCTTGGGGGTGGTGAAATTCTAAGAAAACTCACCTTTCCGCTCTGCTGGCTTGTAAACTTTTTTTTTTTTTTGGTTTATGAACAATTGCTTAAGTGTCACTACAGTGAAGTTTCAGTAGACAGTGAAAGCAGAGGCTGGTTCAGTTTGTCATCTTGACCCAGAGGGGACGGTGTGAAGGGCGACATGAGTGGTGAGGTGTCTCCAGTTGCAGGTCTGGGCAAAGAACATTCTGGGCTGAGGAAAAGCAGGTGCAAAGGAAAACGTGGGCACAAGTGGCATTCTCAAATTTGCGGGGCCATTGGAATCTTCCGGAGGACGCCCTCTCTGTGAGTTTCCGGGGGTTTAGGCCTGGGTGCTAGAATTTGCATAGCTAATAGGCTATAGATAGTGGCCCTGTTGCTGGGTTGGGCCTCACGCGGGGAGAACCCAAACTGTATATGGGAATTGTTTAGCATTTGGTAATGTTCCTTCCACACTGCCAGTATCATTATCGTTTTCTCTGTAATCCCCCAGGGAGGCCCAATACAGGATCAGACACAGACACTGTGCTGATGTCGCAAGATACTTGTATCTCCCTTATGAATGGGCATGGTAACTCATGCTAGTCACCACAGCTGAGCAACATAGCAAGACTGTCTCTATAAAACAAAAACAAAACCAAAAACCCCCAAAAAACTGGGGTCAGGCATGGTGGCTCAAGCCTGTAATTCCAACTCTTAGGGAGGCAGAGACGGAAAGCTTGAGCCCAGGAGTTTGAGACCTGCCTGGGTAATATAGCGAGACCCTGTTCTAGACAAAAAAGAAAAAAAAGAAAAAAAAAATTGGTAGGCATGGTGGTATGTGCCTGTAGTTCCAGCTATTCAGGAGGCTAAGGCAGGAGGATGGCTTGAACCCAGGATTGGAGGCTGCAGTGAGCTGTGATCATGCCACTGCACTCCAGCCTGGGCAACAGAGCAAGACCTTGTATCTGAAAACAAAAGTTTATTTATTTATTGAGACAGTCTCACTCTGTTGCCCAGGCTGAAGTGCAATGGCTCGATCTTGGCTCACTGCAATCTACGCCTCCCAGAGTCAAGGAATTCTCCTGCCTCATCCTCCTGAGTAGCTGGGACTACAGGTGCATGCCACCACACTCAGCTAATTTTATTGTACTTTTAGCAGAGATGGGGCTTCACCACGTTGGCCAGGGTGGTCTCGATCTCCTGACCTCGTGATATGCCTGCCTTGGCCTCCCACAGTGCTAGGATTGGAGACATCTTGGGCCACTATGCCTGGCCCTACTTATTTATAATAATTCAGTCTCCATAGAGACTGTCAAAAATTGCCAATGCCGAGTATATTTCAAGTCGTCATGACAGGGTATTGGGAAAAGTTTTAACAATAATCGTGCCTCAGATAAACCTCATTGGCTACGATACTGCCACTGTGCAAAGCTCTTTATTTATTTTTTGAGATAGAGTCTTGCTCCGTCACCCAGGATGGAGTGCAGTAACATGATCTTGGCTCACTGCAACCTCTGCCTCCCAGGTTCAAGTGACTCTCCTGCCTCAGCCTCCTGAGTAGCTGGGATTACAGGCACCTGCCAAGCCCAGCTAATTTTTGTATTTTTAGTAGAGATGGGGTTTCACCATGTTGGCCAGGCTGGTCTCAAACCCCTGACCTAATGATCCACCTGTCTCGGACTCCCAAATTGCTGGGATGACAGGCATGAGCCACCTTGCCCAGCCAGTCCCTTTATTTTATGGAGTGACTCCTGCTGGAAGGGGGATGAAAGGCCTGATCTACACTCCCATCTTCTGTGGGGCTGGAGACGGGAAGGGAGTTGGCCAGTGTGGACCCACACGGGGCTGGGCAGACCAGGACTTCAACACCAGTCAAGGGCTTTCCCGGGGTCACGTTCATCTCCATCTAGCAGTTCTTCCTCTTTTGGAGCAAAGTTTTCACTGCTTCTTGGCCCATCCTCCCAGCCCTGGATTGGCTGCCTCTCAGCAGGCCAGCACAGATGGGAAATGTGAGTTTCCGACAACTCGCCTGCCCGCCTGACACTGTCCCTTTCTTGCCGGGGAATTTTCCCACCTGGACTCTCCAAGCTTCTGCTTGTGGGGTCCCGAGGGACTCCTGCTGGGAAGCGTCCAGTGGGTGGGTGGGGGCAGGCCAGGGAAGGCCCAGGGGTCCTGGGGAAAGTGGGCAAGAGGGCTAAGCATGACATTCAGGATTCCACTGGGGAGGGGGCGTGTGTGTGTGGGGGTCGGGTGCTCCCGGAGTGAGGGTGGTTGAGGCCTGGGTGAATTCTGACCCTTCTTAGGAAGTGCTGGATGTGGGGGAAATCTAGGGAAGTCCCAGTGATGGGGGGGCTACAGGGTGCTGAGAGGAGGGGAAGAAGATACTAACAAGGAGAGAGACAGGGAGAGACAGAGGGAATCAGAGACAGAGAGACAGGCAGAGAGACAGAAAGAGCGACAGCCAGAGCCATACAGTGACAGGAAAAGACACACTGAACAAAGGAGACTGAGTCAGCAAGAGATCCACGAAGATACCGGGAAGCAGCGGCAGGGAGAGAGAACCGGGGCGGCTGAGACACGGCAGGGAGAGAGAACCGAGAACCGGGGCGGCGGAGACAAGACAGGGAGAGGGGAACCTGGGGCCGAGCTTGGAAGGCCAGAAACAGAAAAGAAAGCTAAAGGCGGGGAGAGATCCCGGTGGAGAAAGTTCCTCGGAGTCGCAGGGACAGGCTGTGGGCAGGGGGCGGGCTCCGGGCAGGCGCAGACCCTGGAGAAAGGCGGGCTGTGGGCACGTGGGCACGGGCAGGCTCTGGGCGGGGACAGGCTCTGGGCGTGGAAGTTTCTCTTCGGAGTTTCGCTTAAAAGCGGCGGCGCGGGAGTCCTCCGGCAGTCTCTTGTCGCCGGTCATGGGACACTCCCCTGATGCCGCGCTGGACCCCGAGGCCCCGTGGCCTCCGGCGCCCCGCACGCGCTCCTGCCGCCCGCTGCGGTGGGTCCTGGTCGCCGGGCTGCTGCTGCTGCTGCTCGCGGCCGCCTGCGCCGTCTGCGTCGCCCGCCCCTGGGCGGTCTCCGGGGTTCAGGCCTCACCCAGCTCCGTACCCAGCCCGAGACTCCGCTACAGCCCCGAGCTTTCGCCAGGTGACCCCGCCGGCCTCCCGGACCCACGGCAGGTGAGACGCGCCTCGACCCTCGGTCGCGGATCTCGCGGGATACCCCCGCCGCCCCTCTGGGACTCCCTTCTCCATCCCGCACCCCCGACCGGGGAGAGGAGACCCACGGCGGCTCCCACCCTCCATCTAGCACCGAGACGGGGCGCATACATTTCATCCCGCACCCCTAGGGGACCCCATCTATACCCCCGGCCGGGGGCGGTAAGGAGACCCCCCAACAGGATTTTTTTTCTGAGACTGAGTCTCGCTGGGTCGCCAGGCTGGAGGGAGTGCAGTGGCGCAATCTCGGCTCACTGCAACCTCTGCCTCCAGGGTCTTCTGCCTCAGTCTCCCAAGTAGCTGGGACTACAGGCGCAGAGTCAGTTTTTTTGTTGTTTTTTGAGACGGAGTCTCGCTCTTGTTACCCAGGCTGGAGTGCAATGGCGCAATCTCGGCTCACCGCAACCTCCGCCTCCTGGGTTCAGGCAATTCTCCTGCCTCGGCCTCCCGAGTAGCTGGGATTACAGATGTGTGCCATCATGCCCAGCTAATTTTTGTATTTTTAGTAGAGACGGAGTTTCACCATGTCGGCCAGGATGATCTGGATCTCTTGACCTCCTGATCCGCCCACCTCGGCCTCCCAAAGTGCTGGGATCATAGGCGTGAGCCATGGCGCCCGGTCCCCCAACAATTCTTTTTGGACCCCTATGGGTCCCGTTCTCCTTCTAGCCCGGGGGCACCCCTTTCATCCTGTGCCCCCTACGAGACCCTGGGCCTGGGAGAGGAGATCCCACAAGTTCTTTTTGGACATCCAAGGGCTCGCCGCCTTCATGTTGCACGGGAGCGCACCCCTTTCATTTCGCATCCCCACGAGACCCCATCAGCACCCTAGGCCAGGAGGAGGAGACCCCACAGTCCTCAAATCCCCGGGGACACGTCTTCTGCTCCCCGGGTCGGAAAAAGAGAGCTTCTTTCCTCTATGAGGCACTCGGTGGGGGCACCCCTCCTAATTCCGCATTCCCAGGACACCCTATCTGCACGCTGGGCGAGGTGACCCTCGGCAGTTCTCCAACCCTCAACCCTTCATGGGGGGAACGTTTTTTCCATCCCTGACTCTAGGGGAGCACTTCCTCTTTATCCGGGACCACTAAGGAGACTCCCAGTTCCTTTGCTAACACCCAAAGACTCATTTTTCTCTCCAACCCTTGAGGTATCCCCCTCTCAAGATCCCCAGGGGAACCCCGAAAGTGGGCTGGGAAGAAGAGGGATCTCTTTTCCCTCCTGAATTTTTGGAGGTCTGTTCTTGGGGCAGGGTGAACCACCAGCTTTGTGTGTGTGTTCGTGTTTGTTCGTGTGCGCGTGTTTTTTGTGCATCCTCAGTGTTATTTGGGAGGGAAGTGTCGATTCCAGGTCTGCACAGACCCTGGGGACCCTGACGGTTGAAGTGAGTGGGGACAGCACCCCTCCACTTTCTAGGGAAACCCCCATCCACCTTCCTCCTTTCCACTTTTAACAGGGCATGTTTGCACAGCTGGTGGCCCAAAATGGTGAGTGTCCTGCCCCACTCCCGTCCGGGCCCCTCCTGGGGATACTAAGAAAGGGGAGCGCCTGGAGATTGAGACTCTGCTGCACCCTCTGAAAGCTGCCACTTCACGTCTTTCTCTGGATGCCACAGCCCCCCCATAAGACCCCCATCTGGGCCCACCTGGGACCCCTGCCCTATCAGAACTGGGGCTTGACACCCTCAACCCCCGGCCTGGTTTAGAGCCTCTGGCCTCCTTCTTT